GCATTAAGTTAGTAGTTATTCACTGCTGGTATATTGCCTAATGCTGTGTGCCTGAATATGACTTCAATCCTTTGCTTGGTGTTAATAACTTTTAAGGTAAATTCTTAAAATGAAATCAGTGTTTTTTTTTGGGGGTTTAATTGGGTCCTGTGTGATGTAATTTTAAGATCTTATGAATGTTATTCTGATTAAGTATTAATGTTTGTGATGCATAGTGCACAAGTTGTTTTTGCTCTTGAAATTGTATCGTGCTGTTGTAAGATGTATCAACTAACCTAAGAACAAAAAGAATGTTGAAGGCTGAGATATATATTTGAGCACAAATATTGATTTATAGCATTTTTATGTGCATTACTGAAAAAGAATGTGTGTGAAAACTGTCATAATATATTTAAGTCAGTATTTGGGTGAATAATTTTAATAAAGTGAGAATGGTTCTTGGGCTGCATTAACATTATAGGTACTCTTGGTACTTTACCTTACATTAATACAGTAATCCCTCGCCAACCACGAGTTTATCTCTCACATTTTCATGTACAGTATCCCAGTTTTATAATTTATTACTGTACCTGTTTTGCCAGCCACAGTATCCAGGTTTCCACAGCCTCTGCATGGCAGGAATGTTCACAGGATCAGGTTTATCAAGTGGTTCATACTGTATAAATCGAATTCTTTATTTTTTTCCTTCTCATTATATAATATACAATATATGGTTTTCTATTGCCCTGGCGATAGTCATCATTTAACACGCACTCGGTTTTGGAGAGACAGGTAGGCAGTTACACCATTCATGGTCAAGATGATGTCCTCCTGCTCACCGAGACACTATCACAAAAAAAAAGGATCATTACTGTGTATTGATAAAATACATTCTTTTACCAAACTGAGGATATTAATTCATCTAGAATGTGTTAAAATTTTAGTGTAGATTTAAAATATATTTGAAATTTTTTGATGATGAACATTGTATGTTTGGAAGTCTATATTGTTGTATACCATAGAAACTGTAATTGTAATAGAGGGGAACCCTGTTTTTGTTTGGATTACATATACATAAGTACTAAAAGATATGAACAAATACTGAAACACTAATACCAAGGACATTTTCCCCGTAGGAACTGAAGGAATAAGGGGGACTGATTCCAAAATGTCACTAACATCTTTCATCCAATATAAAAAGTGAATTTGTTTTTGATAAAAAGAACTATAATGAGGTTGGGCTATATTCTAATTTCCTGTCACTGTCCCATGTGACATCCAGACAGTGATTAAACAACTTGATGACATTTAGGTTTTTATACACTGAACATAACCTAATCATAATTCTTTAACTCTTAATGTTCTATTTTTTGGTCCTGCTTATGTTCAGACTTATTCTTTGCACATAACACACTTTGCAGGGGCAGATCCAGGATTTTATTAGGAGGGTTCAGATTTTGAGTGAACAGAAAGAAAGTATTGTAACATGCGATTTCGATGTAACACGATTGAGTAAATGGAACTGTCACTCAACTGGGAATTAGTACTGTAGTTTTGTGGTCGCCTTGTCATAGCATCACACAAAGCGATGCAACACCCCCTCAGTCTTTATATCAGGCATCTGTTATTGTGGACTGTGCTTTATCTTAGTACAGTTGTGTCCCCATTATCCACAACAATTGGTGCAGAGCTCTTCTGGGGAAGAGAGATTTCCGGGTCACAAGACAACTCTCTCAAACCCGGAAAAATTCTCACTTCTCCCGGAATTTTTCTGAATACTGGGGAAAGTGCCTGAGAGGCTAAACTACGCATTTCGCACAGACAGACACTATCGCACATTCCTGGAATGATTCTGGGTACTGGGGAAAGTTTTCCGAGAGTCTAAGAGAGAGTAAACTAGGCAACTCATCTCTTTTCTAAACTATGCATATCATCATCTCATCCCCCAAAGACAAACACTCCCATTATGGTACATTTAGACTATGGGCACGAGTGAAATTATTTACTCTAGTATATAAACTGTTATTCATAATATCTGTTCTAATTGAGCTAGAAAGTTGAATTTTGTACCATAATGATCCTGAATTATCCATTACTTAGCAAGGGGTTAATAAAATTGAAATAATATGGAATTAAATAATAATACAGTATTCAGCAAAAATCTTTTCTATTTTGATATTCATAACAAATAAGAACAAAAATATTCGGTACCGTGGCAGATTAGACCAAAAATAAATAAATAAATATATAATAGTGTCAGAAAAAACATCTATTTAGCAGATCCCTCCTATTAATAGACATTTTTTCAATCCATTACTACAGCCTATCGGTACTAATACTGTAGGATCTACAGTAATATCTCCATTAGCTGGAATCCCTCAAACCCGGAACTTTCCGATAGCCGGAATTTAAATTTTCTCGGAAAATCGCTCCCAAAGCCGGAGTTTTCCGGAAAATTCCGGCTTTGGGACTGATTTTCCAAGGGGCACATTTTCTGGAAAATTCCGAGAAAATCAGTACTCAGAAAATTCTGGGGATGGGGGGAGTTTTTTTTTTTTTTTTTTTATTTATTGTTTTTTTTTTTTTTTTCAGGTTTTTGAGATGGAAACGAGGAGCATTTTCCTGAAATTTGAAGAAAAATTTTCCGGTACCTTAAAAAATTCCAGGGATGGGGGATATTTATCCTGGTTTGAGAGGATGTAATGCGCAATTTCTGAAACTTACGAGAAAATTTTTCCGTTACCTGGAAAATCCTGGGGATGAGGGTTTTTTCTGGCTTTGAGAGATGAAATAATGCATCACTCTGGAACTTCTGAGAAAATTTTTCCTTTACCCGTAAAATTCCGGGGATGAGGGATTTTTTTTCCTACTGTGAGTGATGAAATGATGCATCATTCTGGAGCTTCCGAGAACATTTTTCTGTTACCCGGAAAATTCTGGGGATGAGAGAGGTCGCTCCCCCCTCCCCCCTGGCTTTGAGAGAGTTCTTTCATTACCCGGAAGTCTCTCCTTCCTGGAAGCGCACTGTACCAATTGTAACGGTTAACGGAGATCACGAAACTCGGTTAATTGGAAGGTCTTTTCCATTATCAGATATTCCATGTGGTCTGGGGTGTATCTGAATGTTTTAATCTATTCTTGTTGACCACTAATGGGATCGATGACAGGTAAAATTCATTATGTGCAAGGTCTTTTTTGACATTAGAAATTATTGTTTCAGGCATCCTGCACACTTTTGAGCTTCTGGATGAGTGACTTATGCTAACAGTGTTTTATTACAAATCACTTTTACTGTTCTGGGAAGGAGGCCTTGCATATGGTTCCCCCCCTCCCCCTCCATAAGTTCCCCTCACTGATCCACACTAGCAGATAGATATTAGATAGAGGTAAAATTATCAAACAAGTTCCCATTGGTTCAACATTTACGTAGTCAATGCAGGTATGCAATGTGCATAGACTGTACATGTTTACAAACATTGTATATTGACATTGCAGGTATACAGTACAAACAATGGTAAATTATATGTCACTTTGACCAAGAAAGCCGGAGAAAACCATTGCAACCTTCTTTCCATTGGTGTCTGTTTTCGGATTGGGATAACCAGTTTGAAACAAAATTCTACAAAAATAGACAAAAATATGCGACTCAATATAACAAGCACTTACTGAAACTGGTGGATCATTTCCAGAATACAATACAGTACAGTATTCATTAAGTAATACAGATAATCACACTCTTCTCTTATGTAGCTTCATTAGCTATGTACATTTTGCATTGCTGTCTTCAACATAGTTAAAACATTTTCACATGGAAATGTTATACACAATTAATGTGATATTCACAAAAATACTAGTGTGAAACAGTGAAGATGATATACAATACAGTACACTATATGATTTTCGAGTGTTATAGAAGCACCAAAAAGATGCCTACCGGGTAAAATAATGTCACAAAAGAAAAAGTTGACGGGATGGGTTGGTCTTGAGACTGAAATGCTTAGGCAAGATTGTGTATACTCATTACCATCACTGTTTTACAGTCATATTCCCTGCCTTTATGATTTAGCTGTGATACACTTGATGGGATGGTGCCACCAGTTGCCATCAGGAAAATTTGAAGCCAGTTTTATGACTGGATTACCTTCTTATCACCAACTCACTTTTACAGAGTGGGAACTGGGCATTATATGTAGGATATTCAAGCTCCCTCTAAGCTAGCAAAGTAGGATCAGAACTCTGAGGTAATCAAAGATTACCTACATAATACACTATGGTTAAATAAGTGAATACTTATGGATCCATTGATTTCCTTTCCAGTTTGTTTTAATTAATTAGGATTTCAAATCTTAGAGAATATAGTACATAAATACTTTTACATATCTTATCCATATAAATTAACTGTACTCTCCTGTATATTGAATTTATTAAGTTTACTTAAATTTGCTAGCAGTTTTGAAATGTGTTCCATGCAGAGATATTCCTCTTATTAATTTATATAATTTTATCACCAAACATAGTCTTTACACACCACATTTTGTTTTAGGCGTGAAACAAATATTAGGATTTAAAAATTTCAGGTTAAGTGAAATACATATCTCGAAAGAAAATGGTGCTAGATCTGCACTTATTAAAACAGATTCTGCCTTGCTAATTTGTAACCAGGAGAGTATTTTTACTTGGTCCTTGTACACGGGTAAATAATTAATGAGTCACAATTAGAATTTCTGAACATTACATTGATTTTGTGGTTTGTTGACCTTTTGTACAGAGGCCTTTACTGTATTTGACTTCATAAAATGTTGCATGTGTAGGTTGTACATGCATCAATGTAAGAGGATGTTTTGCAGTTTGTTTTTATTTTAAATGTGATTTCATTCTATGAGTGAAGAGTGTGTAAGAAAGGTAAATATCATATTGTTATGAGTGATTGATTAGTGTTATTTGTATGTGTGAGTTAACATGTAATTTTTACTTGTTCTAAAACGTTTTAAAGACTAATGTAAACTTTCTTCTACTGAAAGATTTAGGCATCAAGGAGGACACTTTGAAAGGTACCAGAAGCTTATTTGTAGGGCTCACTGCTTCCCACTTCATGAAACATGGACTCCAACCCCTATTGCTTTGGTTTCAGATGGTGTCCTCTATCCCTGTTTTTATATATGCACCTATCACCTATTCCCATGCAAATTTTATGTTTTAGAAGCATTTTTTTACCCTAGCATGAAGTGGTTGCTTTTCTCACAGCACAGATTTCAGCTAATCTACACTTTTGGGACTTGTGCACTCGTAGGATAGTGAAGCTCAATAGGGTGGCATCTGCACAAATTTGTTGCTTACATCAAAATACCACCATTTTTTAATTTATGTCAACAGAGAATCCTGTATGTTGAAATGTACATGATACATTAAGATCTGTTTTTCTTTTTAGAATTACTTCATAATTGGCTTTTCTTTTCTTTTACAGAATTAATCCCAAAGCCAGCTACATCATGTGAGGACCCTCCACTATATTTGTGTCTCAGGATGGGTAAACCAGCTGGCAAACGTATCCCAAAGTCCACTCCTGTGATGTCTTATGGAAAGAAGAGGATGAGACCAGAATACTGGTTCAGTATTCCAAGAAATAGGTAATGCATACCCAGGTTTGGCTTAATTTCCAGGTAAAATTAACTACCCATATTTTTTCTCATACTGATCACTGGTGGCTCCAGGTGGTCCTTCACACTCCTTACCCCTTCCATAAGGTGGCAGTAACCTACTTACTATGCTTACAGATATTAATAGTCTTCTCAGTACAATACTGTAGTTGATCAGAAAACTGAAATGTTAAAATAGCTCTGAAAACATTGCAATTGTACTTCATTAAATGATTGATGATATGTGTTTTGAAATTACACTTATTACCTTCTTTCCAACTGATTTATCCTTGATGTAAATCTACTGTCACTGGGAAACAGTTTCCCTCTTCCCTATGAAAAATTAACAGTTTTCAGCAATTTTCCATTTGTTCCCTATGTTTTCTACCTTCCTCAGCACACACTAATTCAACCAATCTTTGTCTTTTCAGATCAGATGAGTTATTCAACTTCTTCCAGTTGTGGGCTCATGATATTTATGGAGAGCTGAATGAGGATGAAGTTGCAACAAAAGGTTTTGTCCTAGTAGAGGAGGATACTGAACTCTGGGCTGATGAGGAGCATGAAGGAGAAAATGAAGACAGATTAGGAGGGGAGCTGACGGAAATGACCAAAGAATCATGGGAGGTACGTCAGTTGGGGATGTGTATTGTAAGGTTGCATTTCATCTTAACTGGAAGGTAGTACAGTATGAAAGATAGTACTGAACAATGGAAATTCATTGAATACATAATTATTGGCTTGCTCAGTGATTTAAAGTGTTTAAAATACACAACCTGTATGTGAAATTATTGTAAGATTTTTGGGGGGTAAATTATTTTTGTTATGTCATTAGTTTCTTATGTCTGTAAATGACTTTCTGATGAATTAAGTTATACATATCAAAACAAAGTAACATTGAATATGTTTCCTTTTATGTGAGAAGTGAAAAGATATAGCATGATGATGCAAGCTTGGCATTTTTATGTATTCTGAATTCTCCATCATTCAGTATTTTCTTAACTTGTAGGAGCATTTCAAATACCAAATCTTTCCTGTCTGATATTTTTCATTAGCCTACTTCATGCACTCTCTTACAAATATTCTTACCATTTTCTGTAAGTTTTATACAAACAATGAGAGCACTAATTCATTGGAACCTTCTTTACAAAGTTATAACTTGCAATCAGTCTTGTACACAGAAAGGTCTGTGATGAGAATAAATCTCTCATTAATGGACATTTTTACTTTATTTTATGGTACATTATGTTGATTTTGATTGAGACTATTACAGTGTTATACCGTATGTACTACAATATAAGTTTTACTTTATAGTAATTCCCTAAATTTAAGAGACCTATGATTATGACTCTTAATTATTTATTATAGCAAATCTACGATATAAAAGATTTTAAGTGTATCAAAATTCTTTATAATGTTTTCCTTTGAATTTCAGTGTGTTTTTGCTCTTCCATGTGACACTTTTTCTATCTGCCAATTTACCAGCTTTTGCCGTACTAACCTCAGCTTTTTTGCATATCTTTCCAAAGCATTTCAGGGCTTAAAACCCTGATTAATTTTATTCTCTGCATATGCATATGGACTGGTCATTAAATGAAGAAATTGTTTTCAATTTTTGTAATTTTCATAAATTTTCATAGATTTGTCCTTTCTTGAATATTTTTTGTCATGCATCCATTTTGTCATAGGGGAATTATTAAATGACAAAATTTATATCTGTAAATGTTAAAATATTCGAGCTCTGAAAATGCAGAAAATATATTAAGAAGATTTTTGTTATACCAGTTACTAATTGTAGATAAATTTGCATCTACTTGCCTCACAGCCTTTATTTTTCATATACTGTACTACTGCAGCTGTTTGTGTAATTCTTGTACTTAATTTCATTAGGGCAAAATGCTTCAATTTTTTCATCAAATGCTTGATTCTGAGATTTGGCTTCAATGGGTCCAATGATGGGACATAACACAGTTCTGTAACAGTGTATATAGCTTATTATTATTTTACATTACTTCCCACATTTATATTCAATTTAATTTCAGTTTTGTTACTGTTCATATCTGGGTGAATTTTATGACTGACTTCCAGTTGTTGATAAAAACTAAGATGCTTCTAATAATTTTCATAGCAAATGGTAATAAGTGCACAGTAAGAGTAGCTTTAAGTTTGACCAACATGGCTCTAGCACCACCTGCATACTGTGTGGTCTCAGTGGATTATCTGTCCTGCTGTGAGTTTGCATGTCAAGGGTTAATCCACTCATTCATCAGTCTCGGAATTTCACATTATTCTAGCAACTAAATTATTTATAAATCTTTCCATGCTGCCAATTTGAATCCATCCAACAACCCACCACGAACAACTCGCAGAAAATAAAAGCCCCTTATGTTAAGCTCTATTCATTGATGAAGAGTCAGATGACCATCTCCACGGAATCGGAAAACCCAGAGGTGGGCTCTCGTTGTTGACACTAAACCTCCAACCCACCCACCCCCTCCATTCCCTGTACTGCTCAGTGGTAGATTTACCTCAGAATATTATGAAATCAGCTGCTTTAGGTATTTAAGCAAAGTAGTTAAAATTAATTGTAATAATGTGTAAATTATATACAATACAAAGAAAAACAAGTGATTAGAGTAGTCATCTATCCTTTAGTTATTTTAGTTCCGCTTTAAACACACTGGAGAGGATGTAGCGTTGGTGTAAAAATGTTTATGAAATTATTTATTTTCTCTTTTTATTCACTTACTTTACCTCTAGCACAGTAAAAAAAAGAATAGCTGTTCTGATATTGCAGTATTTTCTGATAGAGCTTAACAAGTTACAAAAGTTAAATATTTCTTTTTAATTTATCCATATAATTCTCGAAGGGTTAATAACAGCTGATACCATAATATTTAGTTTAGAAGATTTCACAGAAGATGGCTCCATATTGATTGTTTGTTTTCTTTTTGATTACAGTGTTTCCTTGCTATTTGGGTAGTGGTTACCAAGATTTGTATCTAGGTAATTAAATCCAACTCTTATAGTATATGTTGTAAACACTGATATCATTTAAAATTCATCAGCATCATTTGCAATTCAATATGTAGCATCTGCCTGGTTGGAATCAGGTTTTTCACCACTGAGCAACCTACAGTGATTCTGGATATGCAACTCATAGGAGAAATTTCTCATTTCTAGTGAATGAAACAACGTAGTTCTTAGATAGTGCTTTTTTTGACATATTTGACACTGAAACTGTAGAATTTAGAGGTAAGCACTATGTCGAACCTTTTAAATGCATCCTATTCCACATGGCTGATCTAGACATTGCACATCTGGTTTGTAATTTTACTCACCTTAGAATGCTGAAAATTCCTCATTTAGAGATAGTGCTTTGGTCAGCTGTGTTGCAGATTTCCATCACATATTTTTTTTTCTTCAGACTAATGAGGTAGTGTAGTGTGGCAGTGTGGCAGGAGCCAGTAGCACAATAATTCTCTTATTTTATTTAAAAGATTTTTCCACATTTATGTCTAGCATGTAACAGTACCTAGAGACCATTATGTATATTTTCTATACAGTTTAGAAGTTAGAAATATTCTTATGACTTTTTCTTAAATTTTTGATGCATTGTATTATTAAAACCCTTTTTAATTGGATTTTTCTTACATATGCGTCTTGATGGTAAAGGGATGATTTGGAGTGGGGTTAAGGGCTAAGTAGTAGTGCATTTAATAACAATAAAAAAAAGAAAACAACAGGTAGAGTATTGGTTCACAGTCATTATTAAAAAAATAAATAAAAAATAAATTCTGATCTTTTCCATCTCCATCTAGATGGGATGAAACAAGATTACAGTATATTCTAAATAGAGAGGATAGGAAAAAATTCTATTTCCACTTTGAAGGAATGGTACAGGACCAGATTTTAATCCTAATCCTAACTAGAAAGAATGGATGGGATGGAAAAGGTGCAACGAACTGAGAGAAGTATATGTGTGGGTGTGTGCAAGTGCACATGTGTGCGTGTAAAACAGAGAGAGAGATTGTGTTTGTGTGAGCTAGTACTGTACATATAAACAAGTTATAGTTTTCTGTGAGGTTAGAAAATAATGTGATGCATATAATTATGTCATAGGACTTATCTCAGGTTAGAAGAGAATATGAAATTTATGATAGGTAAGTTACAAATATTACTCGAGTGAGTAAGCTACATGCTATAAGTCTTGAGGGTGTCCGCTAAGTATGTATGTATGTAAGTATGGATTAGTTTGATGTGTTAATTCCAGATAAGTGACTGTCAGAAATTAAGATTGTATGTATAGTTCCTCACTAGTTCAGATTTAGTACAGTACAATATTTTTTAAATAAACAAAGTTAATTTTTTTCATGTTTGATAAATGATAAATGCATGCACTATATTAAGTGAGTACTGTACTGTATAGAGTGTCTCTCTGCATAGTTTTATGTTATCCCAGATAGTTTTAAAAATTACTGGTACTAATGTACAGTATTCGAGTGGAAACCACTTGTTATCTTGTTTATGCTGCCAGATTGGTTGAGTTTTAGGAGTTGAGAGATAATTACATCCTGTGTCACAGTGAGTGTTGTGTCGTCAGTAGAATACAGTAAGGCTGAATCAGCATCATTTCTGGGCCTTTACATTTAATTGATCAGTTTTCTGAATTATTATACATTAATCCTATTGGTGCATAGAAATCTTTTCATCAGAAATTACATACAGTACAACATAATTTGGAGACAATTTTCAAAAGGAGCAATGAGTGACAAGAGCATTCGCATTTCTGATCCTCTGAAAGAAGATGTTGATAAGCATGAACATCACTTGGAGGAAGTTAGACAAAAGTTAGTGCATGCCAATACACATCTTGTGGCACTTACTGACCTTGCCCATAGGCTCAGGTTTCACTTGGAGGTAAAGAAATCAAAAGGAGAACACAAATGTGAGTCACCTTGTTCTGAGCAAGAAAAAAATATTGGAGAAACTGGTGAAGATGATTTATACTTCAAGTTTCCAGATAAAGGCCCATCTTTTGACAAGGAATTTCTGAAGATGGTGGAATCCCTTGTGGAAGGAATTATTCTTATTGGATCAGAGGCAAGTCTTGCAAAAATGGCAAAGGACTTAACAGGGTCTGTAATTCAAGAAGATTTACAAAAATGGCGACAAGTTATCACAATTCTACAGAAGTATGATGATCAAGTGAGGAGAGCCGTTGAATATTTTGAACGCCAGCAGTCAGAATAACATCAACTCTGATTAAGAAATAGTTTAAACCGCTGAACAATTGGGAAAACATTGACAGAAGTCAAGTAGTTTTAAGAGACTAAATATCTCTTCTATATCTTAAGCAGTGTTCTGTTCAGATTTTTTGTTTATAAATATCAAGTATAAATAAACTATATCTGGCATTAAAAAATGTCCTGCAAAATTTTTTAAAGTGAATTTTCTTGGAGCAAGTGGACATGATAGGAATGCTTTTTCCACCAGTGCAGTTGAAGAATAAATCCATCAAACCATTTCCACAGGTAATTATGTGAATACTGTATTGTGTTCAGGGTGTACTTAAAATGCTGTTCCGGGTATGTGTGTAATAGTCAATATGTAAAATTATAAATAGAATAATCTTAATCAAATTTAGAATTTTATGGAAATTTAGATAATTATGCTCGTAGCATACAACATTTGAATAAGTTTAGTACAGTACAACAAGTTTGAGTAATTCTAACCTTATCATTTTAACTTAACCAGACCAATCTTTGTAGTGATTTGACTTTGACATTAATGTCTGTCACTGATCAGCCTGTTAGCCACTTGAGTGGTTGGTTACATCTCTATTATGCACTGATGGCAATTTCTGGAAATGCACTCGCTCGAGAATGTTTCTGAACCTGTGCCATTTCTTTACTATCCAAGCCATGAAAATATTGAGTAACCACTGTAACATTGTACATTTTTAGTGTAGTCCTACTTTCACTGGGAACTTATTTTACTTATTGTAACAAACTGTAGTACATTACCCACTCCCTAAGAATTCTCTGGACAGCATTCAGCCATTTTCCATTTACCCATTACATTTTATTATCTCCCACATCAGTTTTCCATCTACACTATGCTTTCATCATCGTTGTCTAAATTTATAAATGCTACAAATTCTTCCCCTGCATCAGAAGCTTTTTACTCTTGTTTTTCCAAGCAAATGGTTGATTCATGCATTGTTTTTCATTTCATAACTCACAGTTAAAAAAATTTACATACATAGGCTTGAGTAAGTTGAAATGACAAGGCTGAGATAGATGTGTAATGTGACATGAAGAGCAAAGAGGGTAACTGGGTTTTGGGTATAGGTAGGCTGAGATAGTTTGAGGCATGTGGGGAGAATGGATTGAACTAATTGGGTCAAGAGATGCATGACTGAATGCGGAGGGGAGGAGGGACAAAAGATACTGAAGTTTGGAGAGCTGCCATCAGGTGATCACAGCTAACTCAAATAAATTTGGTGAATGGCTGTGCAACAGTAATAAAAATGATGATGACACAGCTTTACCCCAAAAAGAACTGTCTCTTTTCTGCCATAATTCATTGTATAATAAGTATTGTACTCTTTCCCTGGTATACGGTAAAGTATCTGTGAACCATCAAGTGGATACTATTATGAAAAAATTTCCAAGAAAAGCATGTAATTAACCAGTTTGAATATGTTATTAGTTTCTGGAAATACTGTCTTTCGTAAAGCAGATTACTACATGTACAATAGTCCCTCGGTTAACGAACGCCTCGGTTAACGAATTACCTTCCAATAAGAATATTCAATTCGGTTTGACGTACCTCACAGGTTAACGAAAAAAAATTGATTAACGAATTCCTTTCAACATGTTTTCGCTTGCTCACCAGCTGTAATATTAGTCCGCCAATACAGTAATTGGTTCCAGGGCTTAAATTCGTTCCCATTTGAGTAAATATCAAGAAGGTTGTACTATTCAATAATTTTCCAAGTTTTATATTAAAATTTTTAGTCATTTAACAATTATTTAACATAATTGAAGTACTGTACAGGAAACTAGTTTTTAGTGCGCCAAACAGCCACTCAACTCGCCTAACAGGCGTCCGTTTGTATCTCTGGTCAGTAGAGGTAACATCTTGCTTGAGACTCTCTTGAACATAAACTATTTTTACCTTTTTACAGTGCAATTATTGGTCATTCTGAAATTTATTTAACATATTGACAATATATAGTGCAGTGTTGATTCAAAGAAAATAATCTTGAATTACACCGAGTGAACTTATAATTTTATGGGTGAAATGACGGCATCAAGCATGGCGTGATTTCTCTTCCACCCCCCACTTCTAATTCCCATCATCATCATCATCAACCAAGAGCCTTCTACATACACACCTCAAAGTAAGTATACTTTACTGCATTTTTCCTTTACTTTGTATGTAC